AAATTAATAATATTTTTAAAGATAATGATCTTGATGAGAATGTTACTATAGATATATAATATTTCTGAAAAGAACACAATCTTTAATTATATAATTATATATAGTTTATAATTGTTCTGCAGATCAAGACTTATTTCACTATACTTAAGAAGTTCAAATTATCAGCTTATACTTTATAAACTATTATAGAGAATAACTTTTTCAAGAGATCTACTGTATATAAAACTCATTTATTTAAAGAGCTTATTAAAATAATCTTTAAAAGTAAAGAATCTGACAGAGCTTTCATTGAATATCTGATTGTTATAAGAACTAATTATATTTATTTAAAATATAAGATTCTGAATGTTATGTTTTTCAACAGACTACTTATAGAAGTCAACAGAGATTGAGCCTCATTTATAAGAAATTAAATAAATTAAATTGATAAAGATAATACTTAATTTTTAGAGAATAATTTTATAAGTCTGTACTGTGATATTCTTTTACAGCTCTCTACTGTAAATGAAGTAAATACTGATATATCTAGAAATTCTATCAACAACATACAAGATAAGAATAAGAAAGATAAGAATAAAGAGAAAGATAATAATAAGAATAAGAATACTGAATTCAAATCTGAATATAGAAGTAATAATACAAGAATCTGCTATTATTGTCAAAAGATTAATTATATTCAGACTGACTGTTGAAAGAAATACTCTGAGAAATATTCTTTGAATTTGAATTTCAATATCAATAGAAATAAGAATAAAGACAAGAATGCAGAGAATACAGATGCTGCTTCTATTTATAACATTATAAAGCAAGTATTTTATATTAAAGAAAAGACCTATGTAAGTAATTAAATAGAAAAAGATATCTGAATTCTAGACTCTGAATTAAGTGCTTATATCACATCTCACAGAAATCTTATTATGACAAAATCTTAGAAGATGAAAGTAATGTTGAAAATAATAGACAGAACAGTGATCTCTGCTGCAGTTATAAAAGATACAAAGATTTCAGTGAAAGAGATAAATATGCTGTTAAATAATATTCACTATATCTCAAAGTTAGAAGTAAATCTCATGAGTATAAGTAAGCTTGTATATCAGAGTTATATCTATAAGCAGTTGATATATAAGAATAATTATACTATATTGATTATATCTTCTGACTGCATGTTCTCATTTACAGCAAGATTAAATGAGAATGATATCTATGAGATGAAAAGACTGATTACATACAGAGACTTGATCTGATTTACTATACTTAATGATAATTTTAAATCTATAAATATATTACAGATGAAAGATGACACAATATTAATACTATCTGAAAGAAATGATACAAAGATTATAAAACTTACAATGATGTAATAATATTAAAAGCTAGAATATCTGAATTTCATAAATATTACAAAAATAACAGCAGATTCATGACTAGAAATAAGAATAAAGAGTGACAGAGCTTTGTCATTCTGCAAGATCTGTGTACAAATAAAAATAACATATTCAATCTTCACATCTATGATATAAGCTGTTAAGTCAGTAATAAAATTCTTCATTGATCTGACAGAGAGTGAAAAAACACTTTTCAACAGAAATGACATTCTCACTAGAGAGAATACAAGCTACTGATTGAGTATAATAAACAATATAATTCATTATAGATGAGTAATTCTTATAATGAGAAAGAAAGAATCTACTGCAAGATTAATGAATTTCATCACAGATATTAAGATAACTATATAATATCAAGTTAAAACTCTACACTGAGATGATGAAGAAGAGTTCAAAAGTCAAGAACTTAAGATCTACTATCAGAGCAAAGAAATAATGTATGAAATGACTATATCTGATATATCACAATCAAATGATTCAGTGAAACACATGAATCAAATAGTAGTAGAAAAGATATAAAGTCTACTATTTAATAGTGAATTAGAAAGAGAACTTTGAGATGAAGTAATACAAGCTGTAATTATGATAATTAATACATTCTCAACATTAATAAAGATATTTAAATGTAAGAAAGAAACATTACTTACATCTTTTAAAGTGTGAACTGAGGTGCAATCTTCTATTCATTGAATATGAAGATGAGAGTGCAAGATCTACAAGAAGAATTTGAAAGTGTTGAATAAGCTCATGAATAGAACTGATAACAGAGAATGACAGCTGATTGAATATCAAGAATTACATTAATATTATATGTGAAATTCTGTTACACATCATCTTAAGATTGCATGAGATATCATATTTGATGAAGCTCTTGACATGAGTGCAAATACACCTGTAAATACAGTGAGAGAATTCAATGAATTGTCTAATGAATTGAATATTCTGAATATCAGAGAGAGATGACAGCACTGCTTACTATAACATCTAGTAAAGAAAAAGTCAGATGTTTTGAAGATGATTGTAAATAAGAACTTAAAGAGTGTAATTGATTCAATCTATCTTCTAGATAATAAGACACAGCTTATCATGAATAAAGAGTCTGAAAACTCTGTTAATAAGAATGATTCTGTTCTAAGTATTCTGACAGATTAATCAACTACACTGACAGAAGTCAAGAGAAGCTCAGACTGAGACTATTGACATGAGACAATGAAAAAGAAGATTAAGATATTTGAATAGAAGAAGATATATATTGTTGTTAAGAAGGCCCTGAAAATGAATATTCTTATAGATAAATAAGTATATGATTGAAAATTCAATAATAAGAAAGAAATCATTCACTTTAGAGCTCACTGAGTGATTAGAGAGTTCTTGCAACAGCAGAATATTCATTATACAAGATTATATGCTGCAGTGATATCAGAGTCTACATCACACAGTCTATTCACTATATCAACTGCTAAAGAATGAAAGGTCAAATCAATTGATTATATATCTGCATTTTTGAATAACATACTATCACAGAATAAGATGATCTATATACAACTGTTCACAGATGTTAAGTATGACAGGGAGAACTTGATAAGATTACTTCATCAGAGTCTATATAAAATGAAGCAAGTCATAAGAATATAGTATTTTCTCACAACAGAGTATCTGACTACATTGAGATTCAAGATATTATCTTATGATAGTGAATTTCTATATCACTCTGTTCACAAGATCTATCTGATATTGCATGTTAATAATTGTCAGGTGATAGAATCTCAAGAACAGCAATTAAACTGAGTATTGAAGAAGATTATAAGAGATTTGAGACAAAGAATGTTGAAGAGATCAAGTCATATCTTGAGATGAAGATTAAATATCAGAGAAATAATGATCTAGCAGTTACACAGAGCTGTTATATTGAGAAGATTCTTGAAGATTTCAGCATGAATAAGATAAATCCAGCTGACACTCTGATGATAGTCAGCATACAACTGGAATTCTCACCTGATGAGAAGAGAAGATTGAATGATGACTTTACAGCTAGACTGGCCACTGAGACCATGAATTTCATGTTTAGTCTCATTTGATCTGGTCTCATACATTTCTTGGCGTGAATCCCGCTGGGACTGGCTATCAAAAAAACATGTAAAGTGACTATATATCAGATCTTAAAATGAAATCATGACTTGAAAAAAATGAGAAAGTGATCTCATTTAATTCCATTTAGTTCCATTCTTAGCATAAAGTTACTATTTTTAGACATTTTAAGGTTTTTTTTAGACTATTTTTAATTTTTTAAAAAGTAACACTTTTTGATAACACTCAAATGAGATTTAAAGTCATTTAAAGCAATAAAAATAATTTAAATTGAGAAGTGAAAATCATGATCTTATTTGGAAAATGTGACAAGAGTAGACAGTAAGTTTCACTGAGACAGTATAAGACTACTATCTAATGTTAAAACTGTGTAATGAGATCAGTCGAATTGATAATGAGACTATCAAAAAATCTGGTCCTGGTCTCAGACACGGTCACACAGTCAGTCTATTTACAGCTACAAGATATCATCAAGAATTGAGATCATTGCAATATTTAATCTCAAGCAGCTGATCAGACCTGACATTCACAGTCAACTATCTCTTGTGTTTTAACTCACATTTATATAAAGCATGTTGAGCAGCGTTGAAGCATGTCCTACATTATATCAAGAAGACAAAAAACCATGGCATATTATACAGAAAGAAGATCAGTGATATAAGTCTGAGTTCTGTAGCATACTGCAATTCAGACTGAGTGAGAGCAGATTCTCAATACAAATTGACTACTGACTATGTTATATTGATTAATGAGTCACTGATCTCATGGCAGTTGCAGAGACAGACATCTATCATCAAATCAATCACAGAAGCTGAATATATTGCAGCTAGTGAGACAGCTTGTGAGATAATCTGATTGAATGATATGTTATATGATGCTGAGTTGATGAATGATGAAAAAGTGAAAATATGCTCACATCTACAAGTTGATAATAAGGGAGCAATTGATTTAGCAAAGGGAGAATCCTTAACACAAAGATCACACCACATCAAGATTAGATATCATATTCTTCATGACTTGATTGAAAAAGAGGAAATCATGATGAAACACATTGATTCTACAGCAAACATAGCTGATGAGCTCACCAAGTCACTGGCGAAGCCTGTGTTTGAAGATTTTGTCAAAAGAATTGATTTGAAAGAGATCAGAAAGAAATGATTGAATGATAATAATGATACAGCAGATCAATGAATTTTGCATGTATTTCTTGATTTCAACAGTTATTGCTGTACGGATGCCTTTCCTAATGAGGAAATCAGGGTCTGATTCATGTAATTAATTATTATTGCATTTTTGAAAGATTTGAGAATGGAGGAGGCCCCGGGTGGCGGCTTATTATAGGCCACAGTGTAGCAAGGGGGGGTGTTGGTTGATTACTACACCTACCCTAGTCACGTGCCACCCCAACCTATCCATTTAGTGTAACTCGCGTAGTTAGATTACAACACAACAACGTTATCCTCCAAGAATATCTAGGGCAATGATATTGTAGGCTACGGAGTAAGCGCACTGCTGGTATAAGGGCCGATCAACCCGGGACCCCCAACAGATATCTATCTATACAAGTGTTTTTATGATTAAAAAATCTTCTATATACAGTTGCTAACTGTTCGGAATGCCCCCTTACTTTTGGTGTCAAGCTTCTCATTTTCAAATATTGATGGGCCAACTGTTTGGCATATTCTATTCAACTATGTCTCTAAATGACTTCAGCACTATAACTAGTTATAGCATTAACAGTAACAATCATTCTTAATCTGTCTTTCAGAGACCTTTTTTGAATAGATATGTCATGCATTCTAAATATTCTCCTAATTATTACTAGACAATGGCAGAGATTATCATGATCGCCCAAAAAATGAAATTTAATAATAAAAAATAAAAAAGAATAGATAAATAATCATGCATCATGATATGATGATGGCTTAACTTATCCTTATCAACTTCAAAGCCGAGCCTATGTTTAGCCGAGAGTCAACCCTCTATTTCTTGAGAAACCCGTACAACTATCAGACTAGCAATTGTCATTCATTTATCGCTGGTTTATCAGAGCAAATCCTCTCTTCGCCTCCCACCCATTAGATATCATGGCTGCTCTTCTCAAGAAGCCGTTGAAGCTTGCCCTGGTGCAATTGGCCTCAGGTACGATCCAAATACGCGAATGACATCACCTCCAATTTACCCCCTCCTCACCGCAAAGCAGCTTCTCCGCGATGGATGGATATTCCAATGAGACTCAAGTCTTGAATCGAAATGCCCTTCTCTAACATCATGATAATATGATACAGGCGCAGATAAAGCTCTCAATCTCTCACACGCGCGCACCAAAGTGCTGGAAGCCGCAAAGGCTGGCGCATCCCTCATCGTCCTACCAGAATGCTTCAACTCCCCCTACGGCACCCAGTACTTTCCAAAATATGCAGAGACGTTTCTCCCCTCTCCACCTTCAAAGGAGCAATCCCCATCCTTCCACACCTTGTCCACCCTAGCCTCAGAAGCAAAGGCCTATATAATCGGCGGCAGCATCCCCGAATTCGCCCCAGAGAGCAATAAATATTACAATACTTCCCTCGTCTTCTCCCCTACAGGCACACTGATTGCCACCCACCGCAAGACACATCTCTTCGACATCGACATCCCGGGAAAAATCACTTTCAAAGAGAGCGAGGTGTTGACGGCGGGTAATAAGATAACCATCGTTGATTTACCGGAGTATGGCAAGGTTGGTCTAGCTATATGCTATGACATACGCTTCCCGGAGTCTGCAATGATTGCGGCACGCAAGGGCGCTTTCCTATTGGTATACCCTGGCGCGTTCAACATGACTACGGGGCCTCTGCACTGGTCATTGCTGGGACGGGCGAGGGCGATGGATAATGAGGTCTACGTTGGTCTGTGCAGTCCAGCTAGGGATATGAATGCCACGTACCATGCATGGGGCCATAGCTTGGTTGTGAATCCCCGGGCAGAAGTTCTGGTGGAGGCTGCAGAGAGTGAGGAGATCGTTTATGCCGATCTAGAGCCCCAGGTGATTGAGGATATTAGGAAGGGCATTCCCATTTATGAGCAGCGGCGGTTTGATGTGTATCCTGATATCAGCAAGGGGGATATCAAGTTTGAGGAATGAGGGCATTTGACAAATAAGCTATTTACTCGATTAATGACATGATATATGAAGTACGGTGAGAAGGGCAAGCTCAATCCGTCCGCGCCTCTGCTCCCTAGAACCGCTTGTGACGCATTTGAATCGACTCCATACAATTTCTTGGGCCCGCCGTGGATTCCAATCCGTAGTTCATGGACTTAAACACACAATAGCAAAGACACAGAACATATCAAATGCTATTACATAACCGTAAAATGGCAAAGCATATAATCTAATAGATCGCAGCTGTCCTGGGAGATTTTGCATTTATTTCCCAAACAGGAAGGAGCGGAATTCCATCACGTGATATTCAAGCACCCTGCCTAATTTGGAAGTCTAAGCGAGCCACACTGCCGTCTGCTCTCGCCCAAAACTTCACGATCGTATATCGAAGATTTCGCACCCGCAACGACGACGACAACGACAACCATCCATTCTCACCAAATCTCTGCCGCCCCTTGTAGTAAGTCAATTAAGTAGCCTACACTTTCAATGCGATATTAAAGGAAATTTCGACCGGCTAACCAAGCGCTTGCTTATCTTTAACATAGGCCATGTCCTCCGCCAAAGCTGGAAAGAAGAGCCAACGCTCTGCCATCGCCGACGTTGTCGCGCGCGAGTACACCATCCATCTCCACAGAAGAGTATGTGCCACCAGTTTGACATCCCCTGACGGAGAAGAAGAATAGAAGAAACGTGAAGGACACTGCACATCGTCCGGGGCGTTTTATACCCAAATCAATGACCATTTCCGTCTTTCTGCGAGTATGCAATGGGAATGGGAAATATGGAAAGATTGGACAGATGAAATGAAACCGCAAAAAGAAAAAGAAAAAAAGAGAAAGAAGAACAGATAGAAGGGAAAGCGGATATGTGTTGTGGCCGATTCGATTAAATTCGATCGCGAGGGTCTATACTGCCAACGTAAAGGGAACGACGCGAAAAGACCCACAACACATACATGATGCACATGCGATCTTGTGAAGATCAAAGTAAGAGCACAAGAAAAAGAAGAAGAAATAAGAGCACGAATTGGTTTTATGAAGTCCACTTTCTATGGCCCCTACCTTGCAGAAGCAAAAACAAATTGATGGATGAAAACTTTTTCTCCTTTAAAAAAAAAAAAAAGCAATTGGGCATTTCGGACGGAAGACTGATTTTTACCTCTCGCTTTTTTCTTCGGGATTTGTAGGTTCATGGTGTCTCCTTCAAGAAGCGGGCTCCCAGAGCTATCAAGGAGATCCGCGCCTTCGCTGAGCAGGCTATGGTACGTTTTCATTCCAACCTCCTCCTCCTTCCCAATTTTCCCCTCCTTGTGTTGCTCTCTACCTCCCCTCCCCCCAAAAAAAGAAAAAAAAAATTACTCGAGAAATTCTAACCATTATTGGGGCCATCACCCCCCCCCATATCTCCACGAACAGGGCACCAAAGACGTCCGTCTCGACCCACAGCTGAACAAGAAGGTCTGGGAATCCGGCATCAAGGGCGTCCCATTCCGTCTGCGCGTGCGCATCAGCCGCAAGCGTAACGACGAGGAGGGTGCCAAGGAGAAGCTGTACTCTTTCGTACAGGCCGTCAACGTCAAGGAGCCAAAGGGTCTGCAGACATCCGTCATTGATGAGGCATAAGAGGATTTGGCTTTTCAGTTGATTTCTTACGCGCGGGACGACATACATGTGTGTGTGTGCGTGTGTCGTAGTGTTTGGCAAGGCAGCGTGGAGTTAAAACCTTTTTCCTTTTGGGACCCTTCTTGTCCCTTTCTTTTTTAAAAAAAAATGTGATGTATGTACCTTATAGAGAAAAAGGAAACAACACACGCGCTCTTATCACAGCGTAATGTGAGGCGCCACGCCAAACAAAAATGGGATTATTGAACAAAAGGGTCATGCCTTGAATGGATGTTTTTCACAACTATATATATACCTTTACGCCCCTGCGTCAACCATGTTATAAATACAGAGAGTATCTTGAATGAAATAAAGTGCATCCGTCCGTGCTCATCGCCGGAAAACCAAAAATGTAGATAGAGAGAGGCCATCCCATCCATACATAATAACACCCACCCACCCCTCCACACGTCAAATTCATTTAAGCAAATTCCTCGGGATGCTTCCATTCATTCATTCATTCATCCATCATTCCTTTCCTTCCCATTCTCAAAATCCGAAACTAGATATGCTAGCCTTAGACGGAACAACACAACACCTTTCTTCTGTAACAAAATAGTAAGTATCATGTAAAACGTCAGGGGAAAAGACATAAAGGCGAAGTCGTGATGCTAGATAAGAAAATTGGGGGGGGGGGGGGGGGGGGGGGGGGGGTGGTTCGGTTAGAAAGGCGTTCAACAAAGGCAATAATAACAGACAACAGCTTGTCAAAGTGCAGGCTGCAGGCATGCTGAGGGAAATTCTCGTTGAAAGGGGCGTGAGCGCGTGAGCGTAACTGGAGTCTTCATTCATAAAGATCTTGCAAAAAAAAAAAAATAATAATAATAATAATAATAATAATAAAATAAAATAAAATAAAAAATAATCATTCAGGGGACAAGAAAAAAAGGAGAGATATGATCGTAAGGCCGGAACGAAAAGGGAGCTGGAGAGTATAGGTACATGTACATGTACATACATATATACACAATAAATAAAGACAGGGAGTTGGACGGGATGGGACGGGCTAGCAAGGGGGGCATGGAGAGAAAGTTGGAATTTGAAACTTGCAGCACAGCCTAGGGTTTAAGAAAGCCGCGGGCGAGGGAAGTAGGAGGAGGCAAAGGGCAGAAGATAGATATAAATGAGCTAGAGAGGGAAGGAAGAGGATGGATGAATATGGTGTCTTTTCGTTGTAAAAAAATATTTCTTTCTTTGCGTTTGCACCGGGCCCAAGTCAAGTCTTAGATAGAGCATAACGAAAATAAAATAAAATAAAGCATCAGATGTTGAAAACCAGCTTGCTTCTTCATTGCAGTAGACGACGCAGAGGGAAATATGATAGGAGTAACATGGAGAAATGAAGAAGAATGGAATAGAATAGAATAGAATAGATATTCGCCAAGGGGAACGAGGAAGTAGAAAGAAGGGAACAGAAAAATATTGCTATGTTGTAAGAAGCAGACAAGAGAGTAGAAACCATGATGGCAAAGAAAATGAATATGAATAATAAACAAAGTAAGAGCAAAACAGGGAGATATATCGAAAATTTGGAGTATGATAGACAAGAGGGAAAAGAAGAGACAAATATCAAGAGAGGAAAGACAAGACAAGAGTTAATAATAACGCCAGGTTGTGAGTGTGTTTTGACGGGCCTTTGAAAGGGTGGAAGGAATGAAGTAAAAAAAATGAACAGACAAGAAATGAGCAAACCACATCCACATCCGCACCTGTTTCCAAACATGAAAACAAGACCGGACCCTCGGCCCTCATTTATAAACATTTTCCCAATTCCATGCTCCCTCATCATACCATACCATCTTTCTTTCTTTCTTCTTTCATTTCTTTCTCATCCCACTCCATCCAACCTAGCCCTAACAAACGTATAATTTATGAACCAAACCGGGTAACCAGGGTTACAGCATCTGAAAATGCTCTGCCAAACCCTCGTTTTTAACCTCACTTGCAACATAATTCATCCACCTATTCATGTCTTATACTTCTCCATAACCTTAGCAAGCTCCACCGCAATATCCTCCTTCTTAACCATCGCGATCCAATTCTCCGGCTTCGGCTCCCGCGGTACTAGAAACCGAACCGCACTGCCCACACTCTTATAGTTAATTGCCGCCACAAGGTTCGTATTAAGCAGTACTCGCCCGCTCGGATCCGCGCGAACCAATATACGCGATCGCCCTGTCGTCTTATTCTTCAGGATACGCAGCAGTCCCACCCCTTGTAACAGCCATTTCGGCGTTTCATCATCGGCGTCCGGCGGAACACCTAGCTTCAGGGTTTTGGCGCGAGCTTCGAAGACTTCGTCTTCGTCCTCTTCGCCCGTGCCCCCGCGGAGTAAGTCAACTTGAGGAAGTTCCTCGGTGGATTCCTCCGGTTCCTCGGCGCCTGCTTCGGAGAGGTTGGGGGTTGTAGCGCGGCTGACGTCGGCGGATGTGCCGGCAGAGAGTGGGAAGGGAGAGAGTTGGGCGCTGCCGTTGGGTAGGAGAGAGCTAGTCGCCTTTGAGAAGAGGGACGAGGTGGTTGCTGAAGCGACGGGAGCAGTGGGTGTGGATGTGCCTGCGCTACTGGCAAGTATGACAGGTGGGGAGTTCGCGTCTGAGGCTTCCGGGCTAGCATTTGTTGGAGATAGAGCTCCTGGGGATTTGAAGTCGAATCCGTTTGAGAACTGCGGGGTGCCAATGGACGCTGGTGAGTTGAACGAGGAAGCAAATTTAGATCCAGCGAATAACGATGAAACGGCCGAATTTGAATCTTTTTCTCCAGGGCTCGGAATCGCGACCTTGTCCTCCGCTTCCAGCACATCCTGACGCACTGGCTTGCCACTCTGATCTAGCTCTACTCTGTCAAATAGACTGCGCCCACCATTGGTCGTAGGCGGTGGCGTCGCGGAAGACTCAGATTCTCCTTCTTCTTCTTCGCCTTCTCCATCGTCTTCCCCCGCCGAAGCATTGCTTTCAGTATCGTTCTCGCTCTCAGATCCCTGCAATGAACCAGAGGAAGCAGCAGTCCCCTCAGCACTGTCCTGTGTGGAAGAGAGAGACGAAAACGGGGCCGTGAATCTCACGGGACTATTTCCCCTTTGTGATTGGGATACAAATGATGTCGCAAACATTGTCACGGTATCAGAAGCTGCACTCACACCAGAACCGGAACTAGTATGGCCATTATTACCTTTCTTCTTCTCACTGTTGGTACTGGATTTCTGAAGTGGGCTCGCTCCGGCCGTAGATTCACCAGTGGATTTGCGTCTTTTCCCACTGACATTGCCAGGTTCGCTGCGGCTGCTAGCGTCGTCTTCAATGCAAGTCATCTTGCGCTTTCCGGATGGAGAAGCAGTTGAAGAAAAATTAGCACTTGCACTTGTAGATTTCTCGCCAAATAAACTGCTACCACCCACAGCAGCGGGGGATGAGGAGACCGATGCGGCGTCCGTTTTATGCTGACTCGTGAAAGTGGGGAGACCCTTAGTACGCTTATTATGTGAGAAATCTTCTGCAACATGTCCATCTTCCTCAACTGCTTTCCGCTTCTTTCCTGTCTTAGGGACCACAGCCAATCCCATCGGAACGCCGATATTTTCACGCAATCTCACATAGAATTCGACCAAGACATCAATATCGTCCGACTTGGGGTCCGCTTCTGCGACACGCTTCTGGAAGGAAGCATTCAATGCGTTCAACCGCCACTCGGTGTCGAATTCCGCTCGTTCATCGTTGTTAAGTTCTCGTGGGATCGCCGGAGGGCCGTATGAAGCAAGTCGGGATTTAGGGACCAAAGGTTCTTTTCTCTTCAGAGGAGCTGGTGCTTTCGTTGGAGATGTGTCCATCGCCTTGGTGGTTCCGGCTACACCATTGGAAATTTCAGAAAAGAGAGGCTTTGGAGTGAACTTTTCAGGAGGAGAAGTGGAGCTCGCTTGAGGTGTTGATGGGGCCTTTTCTGGACCAGCTGAGGTTTTAAATAGAGATGGTGATGGAGTGGATCCAAATAAACTGCTAGGTGGTTGTTGAGCTTGTGACAAAGACGTAAACGGCTTGCTGGTACCGCTTGGCGTGGTGTCAGTTGCGGCCTTTGTTTGAAATAGGCCTGTAGCACTTTGGGCAGCTTCCTTTGTCTTCTCTCCATCGGAAGTTGCTAAAGCGCTTTTTGGAGTCTGGAAAATACTAGTCGATGATGGAGTAAATGAGAAGGTGGGTGCACTGGGAGTCGTGCTAGTAGCTGGGGTGTTGAAAATAGAGGTGGGTTGGATAGTTTCGGCAGGTTTGCTAGCACGGCCAAATAATGAAGTACCGCCGCTAGGTGTAGATGGAAAAGGGCTGGCAGATGGAGTCGCAGCTGGAGCAATGGATGGGCTTTCTGTCGGTAGTTTTTCGGCTTCTGGCGTAGGCGTAGACGACGCTTGGGGTTCTTCCGGCGGCTTTGCAATCTGTCCAAACAATGAAGCTCCAGGGGTGGTAGGAGGCTCTGGAACTGCGGATTTAGTTGACGAAACTTTATCTTCAGTTGCAGATGGCGCTGATGACGGCTCCTTGGGCTTCGCAGTGGTACCAAAAAGGCTGAAGGGAGCGGGCGCCGGAGCCGGAACCGGGAAAGAAGTAGAAAATGACGCTCCTGACGAAGTTGTGGTGATTGCGGTTGCTGCTTGGTCCTCAGGCTTACTCGCCTGTCCAAATATTGAGCTACCAGGAGCAGTGGAAGGGGTAAATGAGAATGTCGCAGGCGCAGTTGAGGAAGAAGTGGGTTTTGGAGTCTCATCAGGCTTTTTCATGGCTCCAAAGAGAGTTGTGCCGCTGGATGGTGTCGTGATGAAAATGGACGAGAATGGTTGTGAAGTAGATGACGTAGCAGGTGCGGCGGGTTTGAAGGCGGATGTCTCAAATATAGACGGCTGAGTTGTTGAGGAAGTAAATGATGGCTGCGAAATACTAAATTGATTGGCCCTATTTTCACCAGTGCCGTTACTTTTGGCAGGCGGTGACATTTGCATCTCGTCACTTGGCTTATTAGCTTGAGAAGAAGCACCGAATATATTTGTGGACGGTGTCGACGGTGTCGACGGTGTCGATGCGCCAAAAATGGTACCTCCAGTTGACTGGCCGAAAATAGGGGCAGATGTTGATGTTGGGGTAGAAACGGGAGGTGCGGCCGAAAAGAGCGAAGCACTTTTGGGCGCGGAAGTGGCCCCAAATGTGAAAGGGGTCTGCTGTGGTGGCTGAGAAGATCCAAACATTCCACCCGTTGGCGCTTGCTGACCAGCTTTGTTCTGGGCGTCCTGGTTTGTAGCAGTCCCAGGAATATTGAAGGTATTACCCTGGAAGCCCTGGAAACCTCCCGTTGATCCCTGGCTCTGACCAAACCCGGAGGACATACTAGCGAAAGGATTCTTTATTTCCTGAGTCGTTGATGGTGTGAAACTGAATGATGATGGTGCAGAACCTGCCTGGCTACCAAACACCTTGGGGCCCGAGTTGTTTTGGTCGCCAAAGAAAGAAGATTGTGGAGTTGTTGTTGTACTAGTGCCCGGGCCCGTCTGAGGGAAGCTCTGAGCCTGACCAAAGCTAAAGCCGTTTGTCGGAGTCGAGGAGGTAGGGGGAACAATGTTCGGGTCGATAGCGCTGAAAGGACTGGTAAATGATTGTGAGGTAGAAGACGCAGAGTTTGGTGAGGCTATGCGAGTACGTTGCCGAGCCTGCTTGATTCTGTAAAGTCATCAGTATAGGTGCTTATTGGAAGTTCCGTCTAGAGAGAGAAGAACGAATAAAGAGAACATTGGTAATCATAAAAACAGCAGAGTGAATAAAACTCCATCGTGCCCCAAAACAAATGTCCCAAACTGTGGGTGCGACTTGCCCGTCACTAAGCTAGCCGCAACATGTGAGGTAACAATGACAACATCTTGGAGAATTTCGCAGACTCCGACAAAGCTTTGAGCTCGCGCGCGGATTGATCATAGCCCTTGGACTGAAAAGGTGGGAGAAACGCCGACCAGATAGGAGTGAAAGGGTGTCCACGCAGAGGCAGATACACCGACTGACTGTACAACATGGGGGGAGCACGGAGTCAAGGTGTTGATATCGAGGCCGCCCGGTGTACACTTCAGGATGAGTGTAGCCAACACATGCCAGTTAAAAGTTTCAAGCAACAAAAAAGACAAAAAAAAAAGACAAAAAAAAAAGACAAAAAAAAGCATAAGGAAAGGAGCGCTGGGGAGCGGGGACCATTGCATGATACCGGAAGGTTGAAGACGAAATAATAAAATCAAAGCACAGACCAGACCTGTTTCTTGCTTGCAGGTCTGCATGGTGAATTTTTCTGGGGCACACAAGAGGATCGATCTCCAAGACAAGGCAAGATATTTCAACCAATGAATCGGTTGGCTCATATTTGCATGAGACTTATGATGTGATGAAAGGGAAAAATGAAAAATGAAAGCAATCAAAGCAATGAAAACGGACTTGAACGTCTTTGCAAAAGCAAAAACTGAAATGGAAATGGAAAATGGATTCAAACGGACATATCAAAAAGGGCACAACTCACTTTCTACTAGCCAACTGCGCGGCCGTAGCCCGCTTGGGCGTATCAGCTGAATTCGCAGACATCTCGTTTCCGAAACCACCTGCAAGTTCCTTTCCACCCTGAACCTGGGCTGCTCTTTTCGACATCGACAAGCGGATTCAACGTATGACGTCGCCAGTCCCTCCTCTCCTCCGCAAAACGAACCGAACCGCGGGGGAAGAAAAAATCCTTGGACTCTGATTCCAACCCCAATATGGTTCCGAGACTGCTAGATGGGTTTTTTTTGTAAGGGGAATATGGAGGAGATGTGAGAGCGAATGGACGATGCGCTTTTCAAAGTAATTCGAGTTTCCTTCCTGAATGTTTTTCTTTCCTTGGGTGTGTGTGATTGGGGAGAGGATTTTTCGAGTATGAGGGATATTATTAGGACATCGACAGGGAAAAGAGGTGTGCGATATATGTTGGTGATTTACCTATTATGATCGGTTTCGCTGAATGCCACTGTGATGAGAGTGAAGGGAGGTGGTGGTGTTGTGTTCAAAGGGTGAATATTAACTGGGAATTAGTCGCTTCTATCGAGGGAGGTTAGTATTATTTCTGTTCTCTTGCCAATAGCGTTACTTTTTTCTTTCTTTTCTTTTCTTTTCTTTTTTTTTTCCCTTCTTTTTTTTCTAATTCTCTTTCCGTATCTCGGGTAGTCAAAATGGGAATATCCTTTGTTGGTGTGGTAACCCACCTTTAGTTGAAGAAGGCAAAAAAAAAAAAGATTTTTTTTTTTTTTTTTTATTTTTTTTTTTTAGTTTGCCCCCCAAAACACCAACGCGACAGTGAAGAGGGAGGGCGGCAGAGACGACCAGGAGGGCTGCAACAAGGCAAAACAACCGCAACGCTATGAAGTGGGCAACAAGAAGGACGGGGAAGTACAGAAACTGCTGAATATTAAATGAGAGGAGAGGGTCGAGGTAGCAAGTTGCTGCGAGGCGGCAGTGGGTGGAGCGTCGTAGTATTCAAGTCGCAGTGGGGAGGAGGAGGAAGAAAGAAGAAGAGGTTGATGGATGAGGTTTGAGGCTGTAGTCGTCGAGGGCTGGGCAAAAAAGAACAGAACAGGGCAGAACAGACACACGCACACGACACACGACACACAACACACAACACACACTGCTGCTGCTGCTGCTGCTACTGCACTGCTGCACTGACACTAGTTACTTAAGTAGTTTAGTAGTTAGTAGTTTCTAATAACTACAACTGACACGGACGGACAGAGCGCTGGCTGGCTGGCTGGGGCTGTAGAGCCGCCAAGACTACGGGCCTGGAGGAGGGCTGGCGGGTTCCTGTTTGGGTTAGCTCGGATGACACATGATGCAGACCTCTCCAGCCGGATACATTTATCTCAGCGGGCTCAGACCCTCTGGCTCGGTTTGAACGGGTTGCAGCATTATTATTAACTAATCTGGCATGACACTAACCTACTTTTGATACAAGTCATGTGCTCAGAGCAATCCTTGCCAGAGGATCTGAGAAGAAACAGTTTCATCTTCAATGAAGATTCCTGAGATTTACAAGGATTTTTCAGATTCTTCAACTTTAACTTTCTATTACTATATATTCATATATCTTTGAGATTTGAAAATCACCTTAGCTTATAGCTAAAGAGAAGAAGAATAGAAATATTTCTTTAATATTTTAAAAAAATCTATATTTAAGATAGATGTATACTCTTGAAAATAATCATATTTTTTGATCTCAGAATTTCTAAGAGCTTTTTTTTATATGAGAAATTGAATCAGAATTTCTGTGTTCAAAAACATACTAGTCAACTTTAAGATGATACTTCTATTATAAGAACTTGAGATATGAATATAAAAGTCAGATACATCATGAGAACATTGTTATTCTAAGGTTATGATATAGAAATGATGAATCTATGAAGTTGAGTTGAAATTCTCTTTCATACTCAGAGTACTGAGTAAATTGTTCCTGTATTACTAATAACCAGGAACTGTTTCTTCTCAGACACTTTGCAAGATATTATCACTCACATGACCTGATTTTACTATTTGGGTTAGCTTATTGCTTATTTGAGGTTAGCTCATGACATAGTTAATCATCAATCCAGTGTTAAAACAGCAATGGAGCGTCTGAGCTTGCTGAGATAAGGATACATACAAGCAATAGTATACTACTATTCGTACTGCAAACATTCTCATTTGCAACAATCTAATCTGCTTCAAGCGGATATATTTTTTTTAAATCTGTTCTTATATTTCATGCTATATCTCACCCAATGAACATAGATACTGGAAGTTAGATAGATAGATATCCCTTCATTCTGTCCAGACAGATGTTCTACTGTAAACTACTTACTTTTGCTGCTATCCAACGTCTGACTAACCTCTGTACTGTACTCTCTATCCATCTACAATAGATACCAAACTGTACCTATGTGTTTTAAAATAATGCGATGCCGTGCACTTGCTCCAGAATATTATCCTCCCTCTCCTCAACAGGTGTTTTTCGCCCCGCAATTTTATGGACCACTCTGCTTGACAGATGTTCTTCTTGAGATCGAGGACACGAAATTGAACTGGGGCAATCGCACCGACACGAGTATGAACGGGGGTTAGATAGATAAGGCTTGTCGCACTTGGCTGCTACTGTGTACGTCCTTCATTTGTATATGACTCGACCTCACTCAGGTTCGGCAACTTTGTCCACAGGATGTCAGACGGCCTGGGAGAAACGAGTGAAGAGAAATTCACACGGAGGGCGGGATTTTTGATTTGTATCCAGCCACACAGTATACATACATACAAGCTTCGACCGGGGGTTTTTGGGTTCTTCTGAGCAAGGAGGTATTGGGGGCACAATGAATGGCAAGGGTGCAAGGGTATCTACCTATCTATCTATCTACCTATCTATCTACGCTTGCGGGGTGGTGGAATTGATATTGATATTGTAGGAGAGGAGAGTGGGGTGCATGGGAATTCAAGGGCCGGATTGTATGATTATTATATGCATTGCTTATGTGGGTGGAATAGAAATGAGAATGCGAGGAAAGGGGGGAGGAGGTAAAACTAACAAAATGGGAAAAAGGAATGAATGATATAGTTACACTCCGTGCTGTACGTTAATTCATAAACTGCGCGAGAAAACATCTCAACCCGGAGGAATCCCCTCCCTATTCACTTCCGAACGAAAACCACATATCATTCAATTTGCGGGGGGAAAAAAAAAAAAGAAAGAAAGAAAGAAAATTGAAGGAATTTGTGTTTTTTAAACGAAAAGTCGAGAAAAAAGTTATGTTTTTGATTTGAAACAAAAACATTCCCCTCCCCCCCTAGTTCATGTTAAAAAAAAAAAAAAAAAAAAAAAAAAAAAAAAAAAAAAAAAAAAAAAAAAAAAAGAAAAAAAAAAAAACATATCAAAAATTGCCAACACACACACACCCTCTACAGCTTAGCCTTGCCTTGTGCCTTCTTGAGGATAGGCTCCATCTTCGTCGCCTTCATGACATTGCCCTTGATCTTCAGCTTGCCGCCCATAAAGAGACGCTGGGCATTCGCCTTGCCGCTGACGAGGGAGGCAAAGTCGGCATCGGAGAGTTGGAGGGTGACTATTTTTATCATCCTGCTTGTCAGCATCGTATTTTCTTGTAAACCCCCCACCATTTTTGACATAACGTAATTATAAACCAAGAAAAAGAAAATGGGTACTTGGGATGTGGTATGGGTTTAAAAATAAAAATAAAAATAAAAATAAAAATAAAAACTAACCATCAGCCTTGCCGCCAGCAGGCGCGGCACCCTTGCCGACGACACCTTTGTCTTTCAGGTCGAGGTACCAGCTCTCGGTCTCACCCTTGTCGTTTGTGAGGGCGAAGGAGAAGATGGAATTGGCGGATTTGATGGCATCTTCGCGGTCGGCTGGGTTGGAGTTGATGGCAGCATTGATGGCGTCGAAGGCCGCGGAAGAGGGGAAGGCGGCTATAATTTTTTTTTTCATTTTTTCATTTTGGTTTGGGGTTAGTTTTCAGGTGTTTTTTTATAAATAAAGAAGTAAATAAATGATGAAGGAAAGAAAGAAACTTGGGTAGTTGGTTGGTTTGAAGGGGACATCGTTTGGGGTCTGTTTGACGGGATGGGATGGGATGGGAGACGATAAGGGGATGGATAGATATAACAGTTGGAGGCGAGCGATTACTTACGGTTTGCGAGAGACATTTTGTGAATGTTGTAATGTGGTCTTTTTTTCAGTTTTTCAAGGAGAGAAGTGAGATGAGGTTGTTTGTTGTCTGTATGGAGGGATGAGATGGGAAGAAAGAAGATGAAGATGAAACGAAGATTAAAAAAAAACAAAGAAAGGATTTCGGAGCAGTGGCACCACCTCACCAGTCCCTGATAGTTATTAGTAGTTATATATTCTTTTTTTCCGTTGGGAAAAGGGTTCGATTCTGATTAATCTTGCTTGTCTTTCTTTTTTGTTAACCTCCGAAGCTTCCCTCGAACATGTGAATATGGGGAAGCTGGGACAGAGCGAGCATGCAGCCACGCTTGCCGAGGCTAGGCTAGCTGGGATGCGACATTATTGGGGGAACAGGAAGCTTCATTAACTAATTAACTTAGTTAACTTAAGTTATTTTGATTATGTTAGTTATTTGATTCTTAACCAACTACCCCGTAGGGAAGTAACTTTTACTTATTAGTAACTTAACTAATAACAACTATCCTTGTTGGTTGTTCCCTTGTCTCGGAGCTTTCACGGAACACATGATTGCTGGGAGATCTGGTGCTTCTAAGTATTGCTTACTTTTGGTGTGTGAAAAAAAAAAAAAAAAAAAGAACACAGAGAAACTGTAACTGCATTTTACTCATTTTAATTAAGCATGATAAATTTCAATTGTTAAAAGAATGTCGAATGCTGGCTAGAGCTGCATCATCAATAGCAGCAACAAGAGAGAAAACAAAATAATAGTCGACGATACAAAAACACTCAAACAAAGGAGAAGGGTCAATAAAAAGGAGCGTAAATGGAAGCTACATCGCTTCATCAAAATCGTATGTACATACATGTACATCATAGATCAATGGCAATCATGGCGCGTTTTCATAAAGAGCCACCCACCCCAACCTTCCAGATTCTGTTCCATCCCATATGGATATGATGAAAAGAATAAATTGCGCCGCCCGAGAGAAAAATATATCCATATCTCTCTCCTCCTTTTTGTTCCCAAGATGATATACCTTTTTTTTTTTTTTTTTTTCTTTTGTGCGTGTTCTCAGTTTCTTTTTCCGCCCCCTGATGAACGAACCTCCTCCGCAAGGAACCAGACCTTACCATCCCAACCCTAGGATAATGAAAACATGAAGATAAAATCCCAACCACCAGTAAAACACCCCCTTCCCCTTCACAAAATATCAAATCCACGTTTCTCATCTTCTACCGCCAGCTAAACACCGACGTCCTCAAAAACCTCTTCACATGATCCTGCCTGCACCACAACAAATCCCTCGTCCGCGAGCTCGCCCGCTGCAAATGACTTTTACTCTTCCACCCCCCTCCTCCACCGCCATCATCAACAGCACCAGCAGCACCAGCAGCCCCGTACGCCCGAAAATTCTTCAGCCGGTCTTTCCTCCTCTCCTCCTCCCACAGCACCTTCAACACCTGGCTCCGCCCCATCCCTACCGGACTAAACATAATTGGCACATCCATCTCCTCCGCCACCCCCTCCTCACCCTGCCCCTCCCTCTGCCTCTCCCTCTCCCTCTGCGTCTGCTGCTGTTTCTTCCGCTTCCGCATCCCCTTGCCCTTGCCCTTGCCCTTCCACCTCTCACTCCCCGAAATCTCCGTCAACGGCGCAAGCGCCTCATCCCACGTCCCCCCATCGCGCAGCGAGGTATTCTCAAAGTAAAACTCGCCCAGCGTCTGCCTGTGCTCGAGGATGAAGGCGGAGACCTGCGCGGCGTCCAGCAGGGCGTTCTCTATCTCTGCGTAGAGCAGGTGGGGGAAACTGAGCGGCTGGAGCGGCGCGGGGCAGCGTTTGGGACAGAGGGTTGACGCCGGTTCGGTGGCGGTTGGTTGGAGGCATGGCTCTGTGGAGAGGGAGAGGGGGCAGGGGCCCTGGGTACCGCGCCAGCGGAAGGTGAGGTGGGTAAGGGTGGGGAAGGATTGAAGGTAGGAGTGTAGAAGTTTTAAATGGTCTTTGGGGCGGTTAGTTTTCTTGAAACTGTTGCTGCTACCGCTGCTGCTGGTGCGTGTCGAGGTGGGAGTGGTGTTGATAGGGGAGGTGGTGGTGGTGGCGGTGACGTTGTCAGTGTCGTACGGGAAACTGTCCATTTCAATGGAGAGCTTGCGGATTTGCGCCCAGCGTTTATGAGATGAAGGTGATGCGCCGAAGCCCATGTTTGGGCGGAGGTAAAGGAGTGCTCCTGGGTGGATTGGGAGGAGGGAGAGCGTGTCGAGAGACTTTAACGGTGCTTGTTCAATTGCGATTCGAAGTGATATGAGGGCATAGTCGACTACGCTACGGCGGTAGCGGTGTCCAGCCCCTTGGCCATTGCAGGACACCTTTAGGTGCCGGAGTGAAGTCATGGCATTGAAGGCGCGGATGAACGATGGCACATTCGTCACCGCGTGGAATAATGGCGGGTACTGCCTCGTTAACAGTTCCGTCATTTCCCAGGTCCCATATCTTGGGAAACTGAGTCTCGACGCTGCGGGACAGGAGGCGTAAACTTGTGGTTCGTAGACAAAGGTTCGCTCCTCTCCAGTAACGGGATCTAATAACGGCGGAAGAAAAGTTTCCGGCGAATGGGGTATATTAAAATTAAGAGATTTGATACAGCTTCCAATGCGCTCTAGGGCGGCCATGCGCGCTGGGCGGGTAAAGATGCCATTTCGGAACTCCACATCAACTTCTGCGAAGAGCACAGGGGCGGTGCGATAAGCGAAGTCATGACACACCAGTCGCATGGATAAAAGGTCTTCTTTCGGCAAGCAGGCGAGAAAGGCATCTCGGGTCAGATCTGTCCACCAGAACTGGAAAAAGGCGGCTGCGGACGACATGTTGATGAAGATGATTGATCATAGCGGCCAGTGAGCCGGGTCCAAAATGCAAAAGGTTCTTGAGAGGCTTTGTTAGTCATGACCTCGTCCAAAATAACGAAGAGAGGATGGCTTTCTCCTGCTTTCTTCCTTTCTTCTTCTCTTCGTTCTTCTTTTGGGTGTTGATGGATGTGGATAGGAGAACCAAAATGCATGAGAAGGATTAGTTTTCGCATACAGTTTAAAAAGAGCTCAGCTCTGTGAAAATCAAGTTGATTCTGGTTAATTATCTTAATATGCACTTAAATAATGTCTGTTTCTGCGTGTGTGTGCTCTTTTTGTAGAAATGTAATAGAAGATATATTAGGAAATTGGAGTGCTGTCAAGAAGTATACCCGATACTTCGAGTTGGGCTTTTGGCGTGGTCAAATTCGAGAGAAAATTGGCCCAAAACATGCCCAAGCTGGTGTGTCACTGGACGGCGCACACAGACAATGGTTCAAAACATATTGAAACAACAAAAAAGGGACTGAGGAATCGGGCGAATCGTGATATTATAGGACCCAGGCCGGCCAGATCATTTGTTTCCTTGCGCCCCGGGATGCCCAAGCATCTCTCAACGATGCACGCCAGAAAATCGCGCCAGAAGGCCGGGGAAGCGTCTTCGTTTCTGGTTCCATTTTTTTTTCGTGTCGCATGGCGCGAGTCAGACTTTGGGTTCAAAAACAAGACTGTTCGCTGAGACGAATCGGTCTAGGGAGACACCAAAAGGAGCCGTGCTGCAGGAAAGAACGGTCGCTGGGGTCATCGCGAGAAATGTACGGTCGTGAACAAAGTATCCCGACGCGATGAGTGGTGGCGATCAAGGGGGGAAGCGAACGCCCTCTCGGGGGCTTGCTTTGTGCTCTGGCCGGGATCTCGGTAGTTACATGTATCCCAACCTCCCCTCGCGCTCCTCTCCGCTGCTTGGGGCTTGGTACGGTAGTTACTGGGGCCCGCCCCGGTGTTTCGTAACCATTGACGCTCACCGCAACATCAGCGCGCTCAATGGCCGGGATGTGGACGTTTCTGCACAGACGACCCCCACTTAGTGTACGATGACACCTCGCATGCTGTCCTATCCCAGCCGCTGTTTAGCCTTTTTTGAAGCGGGCTAAACTCGTCGGGACACAAAGCGTCTTGGCTGGGCTCTTAGCCATTCCACGCGTTTTTCTGACGTGAACAATTAAACGCGCGACATCGCGTGCAACGCGGGAATTGATGGAGGCAAAGGGGAATCGAGAACTGGCAGCCGAATGGCCGCTAATAGAAAGCGACAAGGGACAAGACAAGGGGGGGAAGGTAAATAAATGAGTGGGCCAGAACAGAGCTTTGAGAGAATTGCAGAGAACAGTCTAGAGAGGAACGAATGTGGGGGTCTTGAAGGGCGTGGGCTCGAGAGATCATGTCAACACGTTATTCGACTATCATTCTGTGAGTTTGATCATAAAAGGTGCTTATTTAGCTGGCATATGGAAAATATCATGGTCTGTTTCTGAGGGCTGTGTAGCATTTTGACGTCTCAGGATGAAGGCCTTTCTAGCGCCCTATATAGCCTAGGCCATGCTGGCCCCAACATCGCGCCCTGTAAACAGCATCCCGATGGAATTGGAACTGTGGTTCGATCGCAGAGCATAGATAGACTGGTTTGTACATGTACATACGAGTCCGGCAGGGTACCTCTTATCATCTAGCTCTAGTAAAGGGCGTTCCGCCATATACCTCCGTTCCTAGACGCTATCTCCAGGCGTTAATCATTAGTTATTGCTTGTGGTGTGGCCGTATTGTCGTAGCCCGAGTGAGTGAAAATCCCTTGAATCTAATGATGCCCGTATGCCCTGGGATAGTAAGGTACATGTAGTTACACGTAACATCCTGGGGTGAGCCATTGGATGTCTTTGGGTGAAATAATGTACTAACTTACTGCGTACATACATTTGCTATCAGTAGCCGGAATTGCACTGCAACTATCCGCAGCTTTCAGGTCCTCGGAGAGCAGAAGAAACAAACAATTCTGTAATCCTATGCATAGCGAACAAAGGACAATTTAAAAGAATTGGTCGAATTGAGTACGTTAAGAGCGTTCCCATCGTCTGGCTAGGCTCCAGCTGCAGAAAATATTTATTCGCTCCAGGGAGTGCAAATTCTGAGAACAAATGCTTCAATGTGCAAGGCTTTAAGATATATGATAATTGGGAGCATTAATACAAGGACCACATCTGTGGATACTTACGCCATTCAACAACACCGGCGTTAGCAATGGCAATCCTCCTTGCTGCGCTGTGAATTCTGCACTTGTATTTATTCCAAGGTTGGGCGTTGAGATAAATAGCGCGCGCACGCTTGAAGTTTATTGATATTTAAGTTAACGATCATCATCAACCAACCACACACATCCTCTGCTCTCCGGCGTCACCTTACAGCTTGCTCGACTCGACAACGCTCTCCGTTCCCTCGCATCTTCCCCTCATATATCAGGCTGCAGCAAGGCTCACATTGTTCGACAAATCAAGAACAACCACTTGGTTAAACGTCATTGTTCCTCCAGCTTCTTTATCGTTCCCCCGTAGAGCCGCACCACGCCCGACTCACAGACAACCTGAGCCTTGCCTGCAGCCTCCCGCCCAGTCTCAACTGAAGTTCTGCATAAAGCAAGATAAAATCTACCTGAAATCCGCTACATCTACGCACTGCTCTCTTATCTATCTAAAGCGTAGTCCCACTAATTCCATATTGAAACGCTTCAGAATTGCCCCAGCGCCGAACTAGCCCTTCGAACTATGGAGCCCAACCCCTTTCACAACCCTATGTACTCCGACGACATCGAGGGTGAGAATATCTTTCTGGAGCATGGAGATGCTACAACTACAACGGATCTGGTGGATCTACCTGCAGGTTTTGATGAGGATGGGTATCCACTCTCTGAAGAGGATATGCTCGACAACGATCTCCAGCGGCTCAGCTCTAGAGACACTGATCCTCGATCAATTGCATCCTCCGAAGCAGAGCTGGCTATTATACAACCCAAGCCCATCGAGTCCGAGGAAATCGAGTCTAAGGAAATTCCTACACGTCCTCCCTCCCCCGAAGCTTGGTCAGCGGCTGCGCCTAATCGTTTATCGCAAACGAATTTTCAAGGCCAGGATCTCTCTGACTTGTCTGCAATACCCAGGCGGAGTTATGGTGATCGCGATGAAGATGATTCCCAATTAGGAGACTCGAGTGATTCAAACTTTCCCATCTTGTCCAACTCATCTCAGAGTGCCGATTCCAATGGGCCAGGAGAAGTGTTGCCAAACCGTAAGCGTCCCCGAACTGCAACCGGCACTAGCTTTTCTGCCAATTCTGGACATTCTGGATTGAAATCTAGGAAAATTACCCCATCTCCAGGGGAGAATAGTGGCTCATCGGCCGTCGTGTTGAACAGCTTACCAGTCCGCCAACTTTTTGCCTTCTCTGATGATTTTGAAGAGATAGAACGTGAGCAGCGGGAAGCTGAGAATTGGCTTAAACAGAAGAGGGAACAGGAGCGCTTGGATGAAGAATTCGCTAGGTCGTTACAGCAACACTGGAATGAAGAGTCATATTCATCCAGCTCAGGATCCTATCCTACGCATCGTGGAAAACCTGGAAATTCGTCCAAATTTAAAGAAAACTATATCGAAATAGCCAGCGACAGTGAACTTGAAGAGGTATACCCTCAAGCTGGCTATGCCGCCGCGAGTCGTTCGGCTCCGTCAAGTCATAATCAGTGCCGCACAACATCAGATGTGAGGGGACTCTGGTCAAAGGATAATATGGTGCATGAAACTTCTTCTAGCTGCTCCACCTCTCATGAGTGCGATAATTCGATCATACCTCGAGGCCATGGATTTGAATATTCTACATATTCCAGCAATTCCATGTCGCCCAGAAATCCAAATATGTTCGGAGCTGAGCCAGGCGCCAGTGGCTCACACAGTTGCCATCCCGATTCCTTCCGCGATGGTATTGCTGACTTAATATACAAGACTTCATCGGAGCTTGAAACACGTGGCATGAGTTCGAGGTAGGTAAACCCCTATTTTCATGCCTCGAGGAATGACATTAGGATAAACTAATGGTATGATGCTCACCGTCTTTGCATGTAGTGACTTCAAGTCAACGATCTACGAACAGATAACCCCCAATACTACGATGGATGAGTTGAAAACACTCATGGAAAATATTAGGCCTGACCAGGAGCTTGACTGCAATCGCGTAGGCACCCCGGAAGCTTTACAATTCACCTTGATGGAACACCAAAAGCTCGGTTTGGCTTGGATGAAGTCTATGGAAGAATGCTCCAACCGAGGCGGAATTTTGGCCGACGACATGGGCCTGGGAAAAACCTTACAGGCCTTAGCTCTCATGGTTTCCCGACCCTCGACAGACCCTGAGCGAAAAACGACTCTCATAGTTGCGCCCGTTGCGCTGATCCAACAATGGAAACGGGAAATTGAGCGGATGCTAAAGCCAACACACCAACTGACTGTGTTCATTCTACACAACGAACGAGGTGTAAAGTATAACAATTTGAAGAGGTACGACGTTGTTCTAACAACCTACGGTACTCTGGCTTCAGAACTGAAACGACTGGAGGTCGCAAGGAGGATGAGGACAGAGAACGAACATACCTACCGAAATATTGATCCTGACGAGAAATTTTCATTGCCGCTTCTTGGAGAGAGGAGTACGTGGTACCGGGTAATCATAGATGAAGCCCAATGCATCAGAAATAAAGCCACCAAAGCCGCCCAAGCGTGTTATCGTCTGAAATCAACTTATAGGTGGTGTATGACTGGCACTCCAATGATGAATAATGTGTCGGAAATTTACTCCCTGATTAAATTCTTGAGAATCGGGCCGTACAATGTTCTTGAAAAATTTAATTATGTGAGTGATAATGGCACCAAGCCAACTCCTTTCGCTACCTCTTAAAGGGCTCGAGAGTGCTAACAATTAATTATAGACGTTTAGTGTATTACAACGCGTTAATATACCTCCGGGGTTTCCTCCCATGAAAAAGTTTCAAGCTCTGCTGAAAGCTATACTTTTACGTCGGACGAAATCGTCGGAAATCGATGGCAAGAGGATTTTGCAGTTGCCCCCGCGGACGACTGAAAAGACATACGCTACATTCAGCGAAGATGAAGAGTCACTCTATGATGCTCTAGAGTCCAAAACTCAGGTTAGGTTTAATAAATACCTTCGTGAAGGAACAATTGGCCGCAATTACTCCAATATTCTTGTATTGCTTCTCCGACTACGGCAGACATGTTGTCATCCGCACCTGATTGACGACTTGTCAGTGGAGACAATTGCTGAAGCGGCTAAAATCGATCTGATCGAGAACGCAAAACGGTTCGAGCCAGATGTCGTCTCGCGTCTGAAGGCGAATGAAGACATGGAATGCCCAGTCTGCTTCGATGTGGCAGAAAACGCAATCATTTTCTTTCCATGCGGCCACAGCACATGCGCTGAGTGTTTTGCTATCATATCGGATCCTTCTCGGCTGCTGGCACAAGGCATTGATGGCGAAGCTTCTATTAAATGCCCCCATTGCCGCACACTTATCGACCCCAAAAAGATAACTGATAACATCTCGTTCAAAAAAGTATTCTATCCCGACGACCCAAGCAGCGCAGATAGGGAGGATGATTCGGGGCCATGGCTCAATGACGATGGAGACGGTGACATCGGAAAGGGCAAGGGCAAAGCAGTCGAAAAAAAGTCGCTATCACAGTTAAAGAAACAGGCGGTGAGAAACGCCGAGGCGAAGAAAGAGTACATTCGCTACCTCAACGACAATTGGGTGACTAGCGCTAAGATCGAGAAAACAATGGAAACCCTTCGCAGTATTCAATCCCGCATTCCCGAGGGTGATGACCAACCAGAGAAAACTATCATCTTCAGCCAGTTCACAACCCTCCTAGACCTTCTTCAAGTCCCCATCGAAAGAGAAGGGTGGGGCTACTGCCGATATGACGGCAGCATGCAGCCCAGCGAGCGCAACGAAGCTGTCCTTGAGTTCTCTGACAGTAAAGACCGTACAATCATGCTCATTTCCCTGAAGGCCGGGAACTCAGGCCTAAACCTCACCGTCGCTTCGCAGGTCATCATTCTTGATCCGTTCTGGAATCCCTACATTGAAGAGCAGGCTATCGATCGTGCACATCGCATTGGACAATTGCGACCGGTAATGGTGCATCGCATCTTCGTGAAAGGAACAGTCGAGGACCGTATCCTCGAGCTACAGGATCGGAAGCGTGCTTTGGTAGAGGGGGCATTGGACGAGAAGGCCAGCCAGACAATCGGGCGCTTGAATACACGTGAACTCGCCTTCCTCTTCGTAAGTCCTATGGCCGCTCATTTCGTCTTTTTTTTTTTTTTTTTTTCATAGGCCGCTTTACTGATAAGTTTGACATGGCAGGGTGTCACAACACAAAATTAGAATTCAAACAGGGATGCAGACTTTTGCCGTTCTTCTGCACCCCTGTGATCTAAGTAGAGAACCTGTTCCGGCATCGTTGTCGAACTTCGAATATTCTAGAATACACCAACATAACAGCGGATAGGGTGATAGATTTCAAACTGCATCCTTCACATCCATTCCAATGCCCCAAATACAACCCTCTTTTTTCTGCTATACCCCCTACCTTTTCCGGGAGTTTCATAATCTAATCCTTACTCTTTGTCTTTTCCTTAAGCAGGGCCCTTAATTCACCCTACTCTCTTCCTATATCCTATATTTTGTTGTCCATCAACCCTCCTGTTTACAGCAGTATTTTTTACAACTGACCCCTTTTCACTAAATCCCTCACCATTTCAGAAACACCCTCTACCACCTTTCACAGAACTGGCAGCGCCAATTTCCTTTCTTGTTTGTCCTATCTACATTTCCTTTTCTTTTCCTGTTACTAGAAGATACAGGTACGGGGTAGCGTCACCTCACCCATATGCTATTGTTTTTTCTATCTAGAGGCCGGTTGGCCAGTTCTCGCAACCGATGCTTTATTGTTGTTGTTAATTAATTATGATCAGCCGGGCGCCTTGACACTCATCTCAGTAACTTTCGGGCTTCGGACATGTCAGGCAGTTCGTCGGGCCTTTCACTATCATTTTTACCTTGTCTTAAAAAGATTTAACTTCCAAGGCCAGCTAGCTACATGTATGGTACGTATATTACATTACATTAGTACACATGATGTATATCGCTACGGAGATTTCTATTTACACTTTTCCACTACCTTGTCATTTCGTGAGGAGGCGGAT